TAAGCCATGTGCCTGTGGTCACATGGTAGGACTGCATGGGGCACATGGTGGAACCCCCTTGTAATCCTAGCACTCAGGAGACTGAGGCAGGAGGAGTCCAGACTGCCAGTCTGGGATACATAAGGAGTTCAAAGTCAGCCTGAGTTGCTTAGCATGACCCTATCTCAAAAAAACAAAACTAAGGGCCAGGGAGATAGCTCAGCAGCATAAGCACCTGTCTGGCAAGCACAAGGTCACGAGTTTAATCCCCAGTACTGCAAATAAATAAATAAATAAATAAATACTAAAGCCAGGGACATAGTTCAGTAGCACAGTGCCTGCCTGGCAAGTACAAGGTCCTGAGTCTTATTCCTGGTACCAAAAATAAATAAATAAATAAATAAATAAATAATAAATAAACAAAACCGTCTCAGTTACTGCTTTCTCATTGTGGGACAAATACCCAACACTCAAAATGAAGGAAGGAAATGTTTCCTTAGCTCACAGTTACTGCAGGTTTCAGTCCATACTCAGCTGGCTCCAAGGCAGAAGGGCACATGGAAGAAAGCAACCTTTCATGGTGGCAGCAAAGAGCAGAGAGTAAAATGGAGTAGCAGCAGCAATGGCAACAGAGAACAAGTCTGTCTCTGTCTCTCTCACGTTTCATTCAGGCTGTCTACCCCAGGCTGGGTGGAGCACTCACATCCGTAATCCCAGCAGTACTCAGACCCATAATCCCAGCCTTGGATCGTGAATTAACCACAAACTCTAGAAGTGCGCCCCATCACTGCATGAGGGCTTGGGGTGGGGGGCAAATACCCGCAATCCATAACATCAGACAAACAAAAAAAAAGACTGATGTGCAGTCACAGCCACTAGCCAAAACACTCTCCAGCCCCTCCCTGATCTCTGCTTCTGCCCTGGTTCCTGATGGTCAGCTTGCAGCATCACTGCTCCAAACATTACTGTGATAAACTCAAGGACCCAGGTTCAATCCCCGGTACTGCATGCTGTGCTGGCCACTGAAACCTGGCGTGGTGGTGCACCCCTGAAATCCCAGCGCTGGGGGGCTGAGACAAGAGGATCGCTATGAGTACAAACTGTATTGCGAGACCCTGTACCAAATACACACATACACAAATAAATAAGAGATTTCTTTAAAAAGACACTCAATGGGGCCGGGGAGATGGCTCAGTGGAATAAAGCACTTTCCTGGCAAGCGTAAGGGCCTGAGTTTAATCCCCGATTCCACAAAAAAAAAAAGACACTCAAACCAAAATCCCAACTTTTAAAATTTATCTACATATTTTTGTACCTCTGAAGATTATACCTAGAGCCTTAACACTGAACTACATCCCCAGGTTTTTTGTTTGTTTTTTGGTAACAGTGTCAAATGTTGATTTGAAAAGTGTGAGATAACTGGGTATGGGGGAAATCAGCTTTTCAAAGCAAACTTGGGCCCAACAAGGAGGTTTGTTTTTTTTTTTTTTTTTGCGGAGCCAGGGATTGAACTCAGATCCTTGCATTTGCCAGTCAAGCGCTTATCCTACTGAGCCATCTCCCTGGCCCAAGGAGGATTTAAAAAAAAAGAGGATAAAAACAAAATGAAAATAATTATTTTTCCTTCATATTCTGTAAGGACTTAAAGTTCAACATATCAATATCTGATGGAAAATACCTGTTGCATGATATGCCAAAATGTTTGATATTTCGACAGATAGGGTATACCGAACTGCATGTATTGCAGGTTAATAATTAGCTTCTCTTCTGGAGGGTTAACAACCTAAATTAGCAGATCAAAGTTGGAGAAAAGGGCTACATGGTTAGCCAACATGTTGGCCCTAGCCTTTCAAGGTCAATGAAGACTTGGGACATAGGAGAAACTGTACTGTAACATCATGTAGTGCTCCAAATTTTCTGATCAAGAAGATTATGGAGCCACAGAGGAATGTGTTCGATGATCTAAAGTGAGCCTGGGGAGAGTCACATGGAGAGAAAAAACATTTTCTCAAGCTTTCACAGAGAGCAAATTGGTCAAGCAATGACCGTGACTCATCCTCATGTCAGACACTGACAAAAGGATGTTCAAAGGGCAGTACAGGGCTACAGGATAAATCCTGAGAGTACTTGGCTGACCTTATCAGATACAAAAGTTACATTCCTTGGTATATAGGTCTTGCTATATCTTGGTCTTAACCATCCAGCAGAAAAGTATAAAAATGAGGTATATAAAGTAAATCCATATTAATAGGATGAGCTGTAAAAGGCTCAAGTTAATAACTTTTGAGGATAACCCACTAATATTATAGACTGCTAGACAGTGTTAGATGTTTGTCTTACTCTTCTCTCGTTCCTGGGACAAATACCCGACACTCAAAATGAAGGAAGGAAAGGTTTATTTAGCTCACAGTTACTGGGAGTTTCAGTCCATACTTAGCTGGGTCCAACGCAGAGCAGCACGGGGCAAAAAGCAACCTTTCATGGTGGTGGCAAAGAGCAAGAGCGCAAAGGAGGGGTAGCAGCGGCTCAAGCAGCTGGCTTCTCTTCCCACCTTATATTGTAATGCAAATTACCTGCCCCAGGGCAGGCAGCATCCACACCCACAGTTATCAATCACAAATTCCAGAAGCCACCCCAAGATTGCATGAGGCTTTGGGGGACACCTAGACACAAACCATAACAATGTTTAGTTGAATTCAAACACTTATAGTATTTAGATGCCAATAGAATATTCACTTCTTTTTTTTTAAATATTTTATTTATTTTTATTTATTACATTTATTTATTGTGTGTGTGGCCAGCTCAGCCCACCAGGGGGCGGGGCTGGCTGGCATGTGGTGCTGGGGGATCGAACCAAGGTCCCTGTGTTTTGCCAAGCTTGTTTCAAGTAGGTGCTTTAGACCACTGAGCCATCTCTCCAGCCCCTAGAATATTCACTTCTGACAGGACAAAAAAAATAAAAATACAAAGGAAAGATCATTTTGTATTTATATATACAAAATAGGATAAAAATACAGCTACTTTCGCTTAACTTAATGAGAAGAAAGAGGTGTACTAACAGTGTTTGGACAGAATATCCTGTCTGCTTCTTGTACTGTGGATAACCACTAAGAAGATAACAATGTACGGTGTATTGATTATCAAAACTGTCCTATTAATCAGCTGTGAAACTGTCTCATTCATATTTATTTCTCAATTAAAAAAAATGAAAATACACAGCGTGTCTGAGAAACATGGTGCAGGCTGCCCTGAACGCACCTCCAGGGTCCTACATCCCCAGGCAGTGAGGGCGAGAGCCTCCTGCCTCAGCCACTCCGAGGGCTGTGATTAGAGGCATGGGGGAGGTGACTTTCTTTGAGGACATGGAGAGAATTCGGGGAAGATAAGAAATTCTCTGGAGTTGAACAAAGGGAGGGTGAAGTGTTTATGGCCATTGATGGGTTGGAGTTTGAAGGGGATGCCTAGGTATACCTGAGAGAGCTGATTGGGGTCCCTGAGGCGGCAGGAAGGGTGGAGGCAATTATACCCTGGGCTAAGTTGGAGAAGAAGGGGGAGGTGGGAGGTGGTCTTGGGAAGATGAGCTTTTGTTTTAAGGGCAGCATCAGCCATATTAGATGACCACCATAATGATTACACTAGGGCCAGAGCCTCTCAGAGAGCCTACTAGGTTTCCCAGCCCAGGGCTTCAGTCCCAGGGCTTCAGTTTCCCGGCCTATTTCTCCTGGATTTTTTTTGGCGGGGGTGGGGTGGGGGGGTAGGGGGTGGGGTTGTTTTTAATTTAGATTTTTTTTTTTTTTTTGGTGGAACCAGGGATTGAACTCAGGCCCTTGTGCTGCCAGGGAAGCTCTTATTCTATTGAGCCATCTCCCCAGACCTGTTTTGTTTTGTTTTGAACTTTTGTCTTGTTTTGTTTTGAACTTTTATTTAGTTTGGACTGATAGTGATCCTCCTCCTGTCTCAGCCTCCCCAGCGCTGGGATTACAGTTGTGTGCCACCACGGCATGCCAGGCAGTGCCAGGGATCAAACCCAGATCTTTCCGATTGCCAGACAGGTGCTTAAACCACTGAGCTATTTTACCAGTCTTGTTTTCGGTTTTTTTTATTTATTTATTTATGTGTGTGTGTGTGTGTGTGGCCAGCTCAGCCCACCAGGGGGCGGGGCTGGCTGGCATGTGGTGCTGGAGGATTGAACCGTGGTCCCTGTGCTCTGCTAAGCTTGTTCTAAGTAGGTGCTTTAGACCACTGAGCCATCTCACCAGCCCCCAAATGTGATTTTCTACTAACATTAAATATCAAGCTTCAACAAC